GCCTTTCCCCGGGATCCCTGCCTTTCCCCGGGATCCCTGCCTTTCCCGGGATCCCTGCCTTTCCCAGGATCTAACTGCTTCCTGCTGCTGTCTTTCAGGACAAGCACGTTGAAGAGGTTCGAAAGAACAAAGAAGGCAAAGACCCCGGTGAGGCCGAAACCGACTGATTTCATTCTGGAAACTTACTCTCCCCCTCCTCTAAATATCCAAAGACTGTACTGGCCAGTGGTTTTATCTTTGGTTTTTGGTTCGGTTATATATATATATTTTTTTTTTTTAAGTTTCTAGAAACTGATGTAGAACTGTAAAATTAGATCCAAACTGTACACTTGCTTTGGGGGCTAGAGGGGAGAACCTTCCATGTGTCACTTTTCTAAAAGTGTTGTCTTTCCAGTGTAGCTTTTCTTCTTGTTGCATCCTTTTCTACGCCAGTGCTCTCGCTCCTGGGTTGATGGCGAGTACTGTATCAGCTCTGTAAGACCTTTGTGAAAGGAATCTGTAGTAACTGTTCCATGCTGAATATCTGTTACACTTCAAAAAAAAGAAAAAAAGTAAATATCTGACTCTGTCCCAGTCAGTCTGCTAAAATACTGCTGTAACTGAGTGACTCAATAAAGCTGCACAGTGCTGTTATCCTGAGAATTATTTCCTAGGGGACAAAAAGTGGCTGAGGGCTGCAGTGGGACTCCTCACCCCGGTGGGAAGGTCTGGAGCAGCACATTTCCTTGCTCCCCCAGAGCACAGCATTGTCTCAGCTGGACAATCAGAGCTTTGTTTTGACACCTCAGCAGTTGTCAGCTGTCGGGTGTTTTTGTTCAGAGGGTTCAGAGCCACCTCCCCGGGGCTCTGACGCCCCAACAAACGGCCCTTGTTACCACATGACTGGTCCGAGCCTGGTTTTGGGAAGGGTTTCTGGGAGATGGCTTGTGCTGCTGAATGGTGACTGTGTCAGAGGGAGTCAGGAACCTGTGTTGGTGCTGGGATAAGTCAGCTGGACCTCTTCCAAAATGCTGTTTGTGGATAAGAATTGTTTTTGTTTCGGTGTCACACATCTGAGTGGGGATAGAACACCAAGGTTAACTCCTGCCCACAGCCAGAGAGGTGGTTTTCTTTATCCTCCTGGGGTGTGAGGAATGGATGGGGCTGTACTTGTGCTCTGAGAAAAGATGATTTTTTTTTAATTATTTTTTTTTTAGGTGGATTGGGTAGAAAATTGCTGTGTTGTACCCCAAATCCTTCCCCTAAGAACATCCACAGGTGCTTGTGCTGCCCTCAGCAGAGCCAAGGGGGGTGAGCAGGCACCCAGCTTCCTCAGCACCAACGCCCTGTTCCAGAACTCTTGGCTTAGTGGGTGCCAGGGATTTCACAGCCTCAGTGTGACACTCATGGCTCTGGCTTCCTCTGTATCCCTGATCCTGAGCCTTTTGCTTCCCAGGTTTGCTTTCAGGTTTAACTCCACACCTGGAGCATCTGGTGCAGCCCAGCTGACATGTAATTCCGAGGATGGAAAAGCTGGTGGGGAACTGGTTTTCTAAGGGGCTAAAGGAGTCCTGGTCACTTGATTAAGAAGAAGCCCTCAGCTTAGGGAGCTTTCCTGTGTCCCACCGGGCACAGGTTGCACCTGAGCTGTGCTTAACCCATGGAGGAGCAGTGAGGTACAGCCCAGCTCCATGTGCTTGGAGCTGGTGCTCTCCCCGAAGGAATTCCAGAGGCCGTTTCGAAGCTCCACAGTCGGAGGTGAGTCTGTGCTGCTCCCTGGTGGGGAGCGACTGCCTGGCCACGGGGTGGGGGCACGGGGCAGGTTTGGGGCTTTTAGTGGCTCATATCGACATTGGGTAAGCTGAGGGCACAGGGATGGGGTCAGGATTTGTCCAGGGGAACGAGGGCACAGGGATGGGGTCAGGATTTGTCCAGGAGAATGAGGGCACAGGGATGGGGTCAGGGATGAGGGCAGGAAAATACAGAGCTGAACTTTGAGATGAGGCTTGATAAGTGTGCTTGATAAGAGGAGCTGAATCCCTGGTACTGTGTAATGGAGGCTGGAGGGATCCCTGGATCACAGCCCCTGCACAAGATGAGGCACAACCAACAATCAAAAAAAACCCCCACAGATCTTCATTTTAATGTATTTATTTACCTGCTGAGAACAGACCAAGTGTCCCAAATACCGTGTGGGGGTTTATCTCCTGTCTCTCTCCCTCGGTGGGGGAGGAGGATGGCGGAGCTGCCAAACCCCAAATGGCGTTAGAGCCCAAAAAGACGATAAACGCGGGTTTCTGGCTTGTCAGGGCTGTCAGATCTCGGCGCGGGGCCTTCTGTTCCCTCCTCTTCCTTCTGCTTTGCGTGTCTGCCGTTGTTTGTGCTTAACTGGGACTGGTTCCCCCGAGTGCTGCTGGGGGGGGAAAAGGATTTTGGGGGGTGGGAGTGGTGAGAGGACAGAAGTGATGTGAGAGCGGGGTAAGGGAGGGGGAACTATGCGGGTGATGGTCGGGCAGGAAAACAGGAGTCAGGGTGAGATGGGAACAGGTTCTTTCAAAATAAAGGACAAAAAGGCTCCGCAGCTTCTTTCCACCCTGCGGAGGGAGGGGCGAGGGGGAGCCGCGAAGGGCACGGTGGGGGGAGCAGGTTCGCAGCAGCTCGTAGGGGCTGCGGGAGGGACGGGACCCCCGGTTCACAGCCCCCCCTTTTTCCCCTCCGATCCGGGCGGGAGGAGCCGCGGGCAACAGGGACAAGGAAGGGAAGGAAGCGGCGGGGCCGGAGCGGGGCGGGCCCGGGGGAGGGAAACGGAGGCGGCGGAGGCTGAGCCCGGCCCGGAGGGGTCCGTTCTGCAGGTGCCTGGGTGGGGATGGGGGTCCCGGGGGGGGCACCGGGAGGGGAAGGGGCCCAGAGCGCTGCCAATCCTCGTGTCCAACCGCACCCGCGCCCTTGGAGCATCCCCCGCGCCGGGGAGGGGGAAATCCCAGGGGATGGAGAACCATCCCTTGGCTCCCAGGTTTTGGCAGCTGGAATGGGGGGGGTTGGGGCTCCGGTGTATCAAGGGCTCGGTGAGCCGAGGTAGAAAAAAACCCATCCCAACTTAAAAAAAAAAAAAAAAAGAAAGATATTTGTGCCTTAGGAGGGTGGATCCCGCTGTGTGGCAGGAGGAAAGAGGGATGTAAACAGCCGGGGGCCGAGGCTCTATCATCACAAAAAAATTCGGCGGGATGGGTGGATGCTGCTGCAGAAAGGAAATGCTTCGGAGGAAGCAGCAGGCGTTTGAGGCAGCGCTATTGACAGCTCATGGGGATGTGGAGGCTGTTATTTGGAGTACCAGGCAGGTGAATGATTTCCAAGATGTGCTCTGTTCCTAACGGAGCGTTGCTCGAGGGTTGATAGCTGGGAAGAGCTTGGCAAATGAAGCCCTGCTCCGACAAGTTTTGGAGGAGCTGGGGTGAACACCACTCCCTTTCCTGCCTCGTGCTTGGCTGCTCTCCACTGCTTTTGCCACAGCATCTCCCTGAGCAAACCAGGGGTGCCTTTCCCACAGGAATTTCTCTCCTGGAAGACAAAACGGGGTCGGACGCGATCTGGAGCTGAGCCCCTTCCCCTGAATATCCCTGTGAGCAGCAGCAGCCCTGGTGGCATAGAGGCAAGTTCTCTGGGCAGTGTTTTCTTCCAAGCTGCCCATCGTGTTTTGGTTGAAACAGCTGAATTTGGGAAGTTCTGCTTTTGCCCTCATCTCTGTGGTGGTGGGACCTGAGGCTGTTTCAGTTCAGCGCAGGAGCTGTGAGTCCAGAAGAGATTTGTGAAGTTAATTTTTCACTGGCAGCCAGAGCGTGTTGCAGCATTGCAGGAGGGTTTAGGAGGCCAAGCAGGGGTCAGGACTGCCCTCTGTGAGCTGCTGCCCCAGCCAGGGGGGCTGTTTGGGATGTGGGGCCTCTTTAACCAGGCAAAGTGGGAAAAGAGCACTCGGGAGGGAAGCTGAGCAGCAAACAGCCTGGTTTTGTCTGCATCTGTGCCCCTTGGATTCAGGCAGGCGTGGGTTACAGACCCATTCTGATGAAGAAATTACGGGTATTTTTAAAACAAACAGTGTCATCCCCACCTCCTCCTGTTCCCAAACTTTGAAAAGCTTTTCCTGTCTGAGCTGTCCCTGAAACAATGGCACTTGCCAGGGGTTGAGGCATAAATCAGCACTGGAGCTGGATGGGATCTGGGCTGTTTTCTTCAGGACTTGTCTGAGCACGAGCAGGTAAAATGGGGGGAGAATCTCCTTTTGGGCATGTTCTGTTCAATAAGCTTTTATGAAAGGGCTGCTTTTATCCGGGTGAGGGCAGCAGCTTCCAAAAATGTAAATATGGCAACGTTTGCTCTGCAAAGATTGTGCTGCTGGACCTCAGTGATGCAACAGGATGAACTCACTCGAGCCGTGTCATTTTTGTGGAAAGCTGCTTGGAAAATCGGGAGCTCAAAAAAGGAGGTGAAACTCCAAATGCAGGAGTTTCACCCCCTGTTAGTGGGGTTGGTTATTTCTGTTCTCAGGTGCCCCCCCTTGGGAGGCAGAGCAGGTCACCTCGATGCTGGTGGGAAGGTGGCTTGTGTCACTTGTAAGGACAGGGACTGTAAACAGTTTACAAAGGGGAAAATCTGGAGTGGGAGGTTTGTTTAGGATGCTTGGTTTGTTTAGCACTTCCCAAACTGGAAGGGGTGAGCCAGGAACTGATGCATCAATTAACCCCATACTCATGTCCTCTGTGCTCCTCCAGGCAGTCTGTTACCTGTGCAGCAGAGGCACATCAGGGCTTCCTAAATCTCCCTTCAGCCTCCTCCCTTCCTAACCCTCTTGGTGATTCTTATTTTCAGGCTGTTCTCCGGCCACACCTATCGTTGGAAAAACGACACAAAACAGACAGACAAACAAACAAATCTGGCAAAGCATTTGAGCTGCCCCCGCTCACTGACTTTGTGTCGAAGCCACTTTTAAACCCCGCAGCAAAACTTTCCTTCCACCCCAAGGTTATTTCACACAGCAGGGACCCGGAGTGGGGCCACACCATGGCAACGTTTGTCAGTGAGAAGCTCAGCCGGCTCTTCATTAACGTGAGGCAGGTCCCTCAGCTGCTGGGGCCCCTCTCTCCCTCCACCGTCAGCAGCTCCGAGGTGCCCAAGGTCTTCTGGAAGCCCTACATCCACACCGGCTACCGGCCCGTCCAGCAGACCTGGCGCTACTACTTCTCCACCCTCTTCCAGCAGCACAACGAGGCCATCAACGTCTGGACCCACCTGGTGGCAGCGCTGATCCTGCTGCTGCGCTTCCAGCAGCTCTCGCGGCGGGTGGACTTCGGGCAGGACCTGCACGCCCAGCCCCTCCTCATCATCATCGCGGCCTCCATCACCTACCTGACGTTCAGCAGCCTCGCCCACCTCCTGCAGGCCAAATCCGAGTTCTGGCACTACAGCTTCTTCTTCATGGACTACGTGGGGGTTGCTGTTTACCAGTATGGCAGTGCCCTGGGGCACTATTACTACGCCATCGAGCCGAGCTGGCACGAGAGGGTCCGGGGTTTTTACATGCCGGCGGCCGTGCTCCTGGCCTGGCTGTCCTGTGCTGGCTCCTGCTATGCCAAGTACCGGTACCACCAGTCTGCCCGGCT